ACACAGAGCTTAGTGGTCAATAGCCTGGCCTTTGGATCAGCCTGCTGTGTTCACATTCTGGTTCTGACACTCACCAGGTATCTGAACATAGGAAGCTACTAAACGTTCCAACCCTCTTTTTCCTCAGATGGAGAAAATAAGTACCTCCCTCATAAGGTTGCTATTGGGACAAAGGGTGTTAATAGCTACAACGTGATCAGTACAATGGTTGGCATAGAGTAAGCAAACAATAAATGCTGTTTATTGCTACTATTAGAGTAGTACTGGGTTGTGTGCTATGTGTACTGGGTTGTAGCTTGAAATCAGGCATAGTGGGAATATTTACACCACAGAAATTGGTGAATGCTACCAATTTAAGCTCTATATTTTGTCTGTCTTTTTCACTGCTATATCTCCAGCACCTAGAATAGGGTCTAGTACATAGTAGGGGCTGAAAATAATTGTTAAATGAATAACTAGTGAAAAGTGCTACAAAGGAAATATTTAATTCCGACTCCTTTCTCCTCTTCTCTTACACATAGCACACAACCCAGTACTACTCTAATAGTAGCAATGATCATCAGTGGTCATTGCTACTATTATTATTTCTAAAATAATATTAGAGGCAGTTTACATTGTCCTAATTCCATAGGACATAATTATTAACTGAAGTTAAGATAAAAAGGCTTGATAAGGAGCCAACAAGAATGAGGAAAGTGTATGCAAACTAAAATTGGAGCTGGGACTAGAGTCAGTGTAGAGAAGGTAGTAAAATAGTGATATCTTTATTATAATTTTTAAAATGGGGAACAGGCTTATGTAAGAGAAAAACCATTGGTCCAGAAGGCAACTTGGGTTATAACCCCTGTGTTGCCGTTAACACTCTTGATCCACCACAAATAAGATATTTATCTTTTTAAAAGATATATATTTATAGATCCTTCTATTACTGTAATACTTACAGAGGAATTGTCTCTTTTCATCCAAAGTTAATTTGTGGAAAGCTTTCCAAAACATCTGTATAGTAGGATGTGATTCATGGTATTCTGGCTCATATACTGAATTCTTGAGAAAAAGAGGGAAGAAATGGGTTTTAGGGGGGAACATATAAACGTACTTCAGAAGAATTGGGGGCATTAGTTATTACCTACCCTTTCAAATTGTTCCCAGTCATAATCAGTATTTCCAATTATTGCTGTCCTTAGTTCTTCAGGATGGAAAAGTCTAAGTATCTCTTTGTCACAGACTGTATAAAATCCTCTCTGAAATTCCTCATAAACTGCCTTTACAGAAGTGTTGAAAATGTAATCAACACACTGAGAAACATAGTCGGTCCTTGAAGGAAACAAACAAACAAAAAAAGTCCAATAACATACTTTATCAGTGCCTAAAATATTCTTGATTTTGCCCTTTTTTACCATTTCTATTAAGAAAGAAAAGTAAATTCCTTCTGCTGAGCACACAACCCAGTACTACTCTAAGATATAAAAACATCTGATCAGCTAGCACAGTGGTTGGCAAACTGCTGCTCGCGAGCCACATGCGGCTCTTTGGCCCCTTGAGTGTGGCTCTTCCACAAAACAGCACGTGCAGGCGCACATGTACAGTGCGATTGAAACTTCGTGGCCCATGTGCAGAAGTTGGTATTTTGTGGAAGAGCCACACTCGAGGAGCCAAAGAGCCACATGTGGCTCGCGAGCCACAGTTTGCCAACTACTGAGCTAGAAGAAGGAATCTTGGAGCATATAGCAGAAGGAATAAGACTTTGTTTTACTTCCATTTTCCTAGCTGCAGACAGGATATTTTAAAAACACTAAAACATTCCATTCTCCTGCTTAAAAACTTTCACAGGCTTCTCAAAGGCTGAGCGCAACCTCCACAGCAGGATCAAAAAGCCCTCCACGATCTGACCGTTACCCTACTCTCCAGCCTCTTCCCACTTCCATTTGAATCTCTGGCCTCACTGTCTCTTGTAGTTAGGCCATAGCATACAGTGCTTCCCCCTTTCCTAGCAACTTTTATCACTCATCAATATGAGTATGTCTTTCTCAGGGTTGCTCCTCTGTCCCTCTTTCCCTCCACACTTACATGTCATTGTGTGAAAATTATTTATGCTGCCTGTCCTCTTCCCTACGTGAAGAATTTCCTGATGGCAGGGTTGCTATTGGAGGTATTTCCACCAGAAACATGATAGTCTCCCTCCCCTTGAGCGTCCTTCCTGGACTATCCTATCTATATCAATCCCTCTCTGCCCTCCCCGGTAACCCGTGGCATGCTGGTAAATGTTTAAAAATCAGTTGTCCGAAGGGAAAGAGAAAAAGGAAATGCTCATTGGTAGCTTTAGCCAATTTCTGTGGTGTAAATATTCCCACTATGCCTGATTTCAAGCTACAAACACTTTAATAATAAACTGTGAACATTTTTGAAAATTTAACAATCAATCAGCTCTCACAAGCTGGTACCAGCTGCCTTCAGCACACCTCCAACCTGTAACTCTAGTCTCTTAATTGGATTTAATTTTCTTCAGAGTATTTATCTGACATTCTATTACATAGTAATCTATTCTTGTATTGCCTTTTGGTCCTACTGGAATTTAAGCTCTATATTATGTCTGTCTTTTTCACTGCTATATCTCCAGCACCTAGAATAGGGTCTAGTACATAGTAGGGGCTCAAAATAATTGTTAAATGAATAACTAGTGAAAAGTGCTACAAAGGAAATATTTAATTCCGACTCCTTTCTCCTCTTCTCTTACCCTATAACTGTTTTATCTTTCTAAAAGATGAGGAACTAAAATGATCATCTGAGAAGCTAAAATACATTTGTAAAGTAAAGTGACATAAACATTTTATGTGTATTCAAAGCATAAATTCTAGGTCTCAAAACTTACTTGTTGGTTTGGTCCACAAGTATAGAGATCCCATTTGGAATTAAATCAACATTATGTTGGTCCCATCGTAGCTGTAATATATTCAGGTAGCAAACATGAAAGAAAGTCTCAATAATCAACCACATTACCATTATTGCCAATTTATAGGATATCCAAAAAACGCATACACACTTTAACAGCTGATAGCTCAATTGATGTTTCTTTATTTTCAGATTTACCCCATTGGAATGAATAATTATTCAAAGTGTGTATACATTTTTTGGGACACTCTGTGTTCTTCCCTAACAAAATTTAAATAACTGGGAGCTAAATAATTATTTATGCAGTTCAGCCTTTTGAATACATAAAACATTTTAAAACCTACCCTAGATATGTTGTAGATTGCTTTTAAGCATACATTGATCCATTTAGTTATTTACATAGATTGAATAATCACTTGTATTTGCACTTTATTTGTGAGTACACAGACATAGGTAAAAAATGAGGAGCAGGTAGAGAGAAAGTCTTACAGTACAGAAGTAAAGTACCATTCAAAAAAGGCATCCCAAATTTGAGATATAATAAAACTAGAGGCCCGGTGCATAAAAATTCATGCACTGGAGGGGGTTTCCTCAGCCTGGCCTGCCCCCTCTCACAGTCCGGGAGCCCAAAGGGGTGCAAGGCGACCCGGCAATCAAGGGGAAGGTGATGCCCACATCACACTTCTGCTGCTGCAAGTGCCGGCAGTGCAAGCCTCAGCCGGCCCTGGTTACCTCAGCCTCGGGCGGCCCTGAGTGGCTGGGGGGCTGAGGGGACGGGGGGACTTGGAGGTAGGCGCCCTGGCGGGGCTGAGGGGACTGGGCGCCACCATCTAGTGGCTGTGGGTGCCTCCATTTTTGAGGGTGTGTAAGTCAATTAGCATATTCCCTCCTTATTGGCTGTGGGCGTCACCATATTTGCGATGGCCTGAGGGTCAATTAGCATATTCCCTCTTTATTAGATAGGATTACTTTTTAAAAAGACTAAAGCTAAAACATAATTTGTTGTTCACTAGTACTGTGAACCCTGAGAAAGAAGATGCCTACTAAGAAGGGCTCCTTGTGGCTAAATTAAAAACAACAACAGCCTAGCAGCTGTTTCTACACAGGGACCTATCATGCAAACTGCACTTAAGGGAGAAGGTTACACTGAACGACCTGCTTACACTGTGTTTCTGCCATCCGAGTCAGCCCTCTAAAGGAGTTCCCGGAATCCTCTTTTATCCAATAGGATTGAGGCTTTCTCCATCCAATAGGAGCTGCACAACTATATTCCCATCAACATCTTCATGGACCAATCAAGGCAATGCCTTTTGGACCAAGCAAACTGTAAGAATATGGAGTCCTCATTTGCATGAGGATGGATCAATCAGGGACCAGGGTTGGGGACTTGTGTCTATATAAGCCAGCTCCTCTCTGACTGGGGGAGTGCACTTTCCACTTCCACTGAAGACAGGACTATGTTTCCCAGACTGAGCTGAACACCAAAGATGTCTCACTGGGGCTGATCGAAGCAGACCAGCACAGACAAAAGCAGACTGCTCAGATGGAGCAGACCAGAGTGGAGCAAAGCAGAGTAGCCCAGCCCAAAGCAGACCCGCAAGGAGCAGACTAGAGCAGAGCACAGGAGTGAGGAGAGGAGAGCAGAGCAGAGCTGTCTAGCAGAGAGGGGCCTGGCTCCAGGGCTGCCTCAAAGCCATGCTGTTTTCACAGCTGTGCTATATCAATTGAGCTGATTTGCACTGAATAGTTTCCTTCATTGCACACCAAATTGGGAATTCCTGTTGGCACTGAATTGGTGCCAATAACCATGGGTTGACAGTACTCACAGAAAAATATATGCAAAGTGCTTCTCCAATGTCATCAGCCTCATAATTTAGAACTTCTTGCAAATTCCTAATGAAAATTTTGGTTTAAAATTTTTATTTATTGGTCTTAAAACATTTCAGAAGTAATAAATGTTCAATGGAATAATTGGGGGCACTACAGAAATGTATAAAATGCCATGTAAATTTCCTCTCCTGCACCATCCCACTCTCTCTTTCTAGAGTTAACCTCTATTTACAGTTTTGATTGCTTGAACCACTGCTAACACAAACACTGCTGTGTCTTGGTAGAAATTACAATAAAAAGTCCCTTCCTCTAGACCAGTGATTCTCAACCAGGGTGATTTTGCACCCCCAGTGGATATTTGGAAAAATCTGGAGACATCTTTGGTTGTCATAATTAGAGGAGGGTTACAAAACAAAACAAAAAAGCAATTAGAGGAGGGTTGCTACTGACATCTAGTGAGTTAAGTAAGCCCATATGCAGCTCAACATCCTACAACACCCAGGACAGCCTTCCACAATAAAGGATTCTCCAGACAAAAATGCCAGGCGTTTCTCAACCCCTCCTCTACATTGGCAATACAGGGCATACAATATAAATCTAGCCAGTGTGTTCTTCCACTAACAGTACATGAGGGGAAAATCCTTTTCCCCAATCTGGCTGTCAACTCTGTATTTTATGAAAAACCTTTTGATAGTTGTCAATCTATAAAGCAAAAAAATGACATTTCATTTGTATTTCCTCAATTACTAGTAAGGTTGAGCATATTTTCATTTCTTGAATAACCATATATATACATATGTGTGATGACATATACAGTACCGGGGTTGGCAAAAGTAGGTTTACAGTTGTAAGTACGTGAAATATGGAATTAATTATTGTCTTACTGTTATTATTTTGTATCCTTACTTATGATTTACCTTTAAGATAATGATTGCTGGTAATTTAACCTACTTTTGCCCACCTCTGCATATATATACATCAGAGATACTGTACTAATCCTTTGTCTATTATATGTTGCCAGTATTTTCCTCACAGGATATAGTTTGCCTTTTAACTTAGAACAAGCATTTTTCAACCCTTAAAAATAAAGTTGATGACATGCTGATTTATTTAAATAAAGTGATATGATTAAATACAATTTATTCAAAATAAATATAGTAGGTATGATTCGCATTAAGAATACTGTGTACTGTCTAAAGCAACTGTTTCCATCCGGATAAACTGAAGACACCAGGCATTGTTTATTGTACTGGTCAATAATTAGAGAAACATTTGGCCTTTTCCATTTTTGAAGGTTTACTTGACTGTAAGTCATGCTAAAATTCAAATTCATCTAAAGAGCATACATTTATTGAAACTGAAGGCCTTTTGTGTGTCTGTGTCTCTGTGTGGAACATCATTTATGCCGAGACAACTAAGACTTACTAGATAAAGTCCTGGAAAAACATTTACTTACTTTCCCAAAAGGGGACTGAGTTCTTTTAAATCTTCCAATGATGGCTTTTGGTCCAGAAGTTTCTTAAACAGAGCCAGTGGGAAAGGAATATCGGCAACATTTAAATGGTACAGGGAGAGTCCACACAGCCTCCCAAAGAGGAAATATCTCTTCTTCTCAAATCTAGGCTAGAAAGGAAGAAGGAAAAAAACAAAACACCCAGCCATAATGTATTATAAATAATAATCACTGGGAAATTAGATTAGCAAAAAAATGTTTTTGGTTCCCTTTTCTAAGAGTCACAAATTAGAAACAAAATGGCTTCAAGAAAATAAAAATTTGAGGTTCTTACTCTGGCTGTATTACAGTTCAAAATTCTTCCATAAGTTAAAATACAAATTAAGAGTTCACAAGATTAAATAAATGAATGTACTTTTTGTTCGTAACAGCATATTTAGAATATTAAAAAATACGCTCAGATAGCCTTATAAACTAAGGTTTTCAATATTTAATTTTACAGGCTTTGCCTTCAGATTCATGTAGAAAAACAACACTTTGGAAGAAAGGGTGAACTTTATCTACACTTTGAGCAGGCATCAGGCATGCCAGGTCTGTGTCAGACGAGTGGTGTCCCTTCGGCAATATAACCCTCAACCAAGGTGTCCTTACAGGGAACAGCATACGGGTCAGGGAAGGTGAGTGGAAGGAAGGAAAGCGTCCTGATGATATTGGCTTCACTCTCCTCTCTGCACTGGCCACATCTGGCCAGACTATCACTACAGTCCAACCAAGAGATCACTAACCTGCTAATTCTTTTAAGATTTCTATTCCAGCAACAGCCTTGCTGTTAGTAGGTGCATGACTCTGGGCCACCATCTACTTGTCCAATTTCTTCTTAGAGTAATTGTGAGGATGTTAAAATGTTTTTGATTTTTGAAAATGAGTTAAAAATACAAATATACTCCAAAGGGGGCCTCTTCTCACCTGTTCAGTTTTTATTTCCTGTATCTGTAATGGGTCCCCTGGTCCTAGCTGATTTAGTCTCCTCACGGAGCCACACATGAATCAGACTTTTGTTTGTTTTCTATCCAGCAGTATAACACAATGCTTAAGAGTAAGGGGTTTGGCCTGGCTGGTGTTGCTCAGTGGTTGAGTGTCCACCTATGAACCAGAAGGTCATAGTTCGATTCTTGGTCAGGGCACATGCCTGGGTTTCAGGCTCCATCCCCAGTAGGAGGCATAAAGGAGGCAGCTGATCAATGATTCTCTTTCATCATTGATGTTTCTATCTCTCTATCCCTCTCCCTTCCTCTCTGAAATCAATAAAAAATATATTATTAAAAAAGAGAGTAATGGCTTTGTCTAGTCCCAAATCCATATTCCCGCTTAGTCGCTTGCTAGTTGGATGACTGTAGCTTATTTAATCTCTCTGAACCTGTTTATTGATCTGTAAAATGGGGACAAACTAAATACCTCACGGAGTTGATGTAAGGGATCAGCATTATGCTATTAGTTATGTTTGGAGAGTCAAAGTTAAACACAGACTTTCCATTGTGTGTGGAAGAAAGGGATCAGCACCCCTAAACCCCATGTTGTTCAAGGGTCAACTTACATCCCTTGCTTGCATCTCTTTGATCTATTTTGTCCTGATCCTTCAACATCAACCTCATGTCTCCACTTTTCCACTACACTTTCTCTAATTACTTTAGTTCCCCTTGATAACTTTCTCTCTAATAAAGAATCCCTAAAATTTGGATAGTGCCCTAAAGTTTTCCTGGCGCTTTCACACTTGGATATATGCCTTATCTTGTTTTATTCTCACAACAGTCCTATAAAGCAGGCAGAGCAGAAATTATGACAGCCATTTTATAGGCGAGGAACGCGAAAACTCAGAGAAGCTAAAAGACTCACCCACCATCACTCGAGATTACAACTCTGGGCTTCCAATTCTACATCAGTGTATCCTTCCCTACGCTTCTGTGCTCAACAACTATTACACATAAAGTCAGCAATCCAAAATTTAGAAACAATTGCTAAAGTTCATGGTGTTTTAGTCTTATCACTCTCTCTACAAATACAAATAGAGGAAAAGGATTGTGTCGTATACTAATTTGAATCACTCACAATATTTAATACAACGTGGAGTCTCATGAAATAGTCAATAAATGCTTGTTGTTTGACCCATAAAAATCCTACCATTTGTACACCTTCGCCATTTCTATTTTCTAGAAGTTCATTCTTTCTCAAAAAGATACAGATCACTTCTCAGTACTTTTGCACACCCACTCATCTTTCTCTTTCTTTTCCCTGTCCCCTGGGTCCCAAACTTTTACTATGGAAAGAACACTTGGGAAATTTATCAGAAAGGGGATCCATAAATTGAGGCTCAACGTGATTCTTTTTAGAATTATCTTCTCTGTGTTTCTAATAGAGAAATGAAGACAAGTTTTTTTGTTATTTTAAGGAATGTTTACATTTTGAGGATCCTTGTAAAAGTATAATCATTTCAGAAATGAACTGCCTTATTAGAATTAGCAATTATCTCTAGGATTATATTAATAATTCCTCTTCTTATAGAAACATTCTAGATTACTGCATCTCAAAATCTAGGAAACCACACAAATATCCATCTGAAGTGAGTAGATAAGCAGCATGCAGTACATCCATACAATGGAATACTACTCAACAAAAGGGAATGAGCTTTGGTTACATTCAACAACATGCATGAGTTTCAACATAATTATGCTGAGTGAAAGAGGACAGACACCAAGACTACTTATGATTCCATTTATGTAAAATTTTAGGAAATTGAAAGTACTTTATAGTGACAGTTGTTGCCTGGGCATGGAATAGGGGGCACCAGAGGCATAGCAGCAGGGGAGGAGTAGGGCTCGAAAGGGATACGAGAAAACTTTGGGGGATGATGTGTAGGTTCATTATCTTTTTTTTTTTTTTTTAATATATTTTATTGATTTTTTACAGAGAGGAAGGGAGAGAGATAGATAGTTAGAAACATCGATGGGAGAGAAACATCGATCAGCTGCCTCCTGCACATCTCCCACTGGGGATGTGCCCACAACCCAGGTACATGCCCCTGACCGGAATCGAACCTGGGACCTTTCAGTCCGCAGGCCGACGCTCTATCCACTGAGCCAAACCGGTTTCGGCAGTTCATTATCTTTTTAAAAAATACATTTTTATTGATTTTAGAGAGGGAGGGAGAGGGAGAGAGAGATAGAAACATCAATGATGAGAGAGAATCATTGATCTGCTGCCTCCTGCACACCCCACACTGGGGTTCGAGTTTGCAACCTGGACATGTGCCCTGACTGGGAATCGAACTGTGACCTCCTGGTTCATAGGTCAATACTCAACCACTAAGCCATGTTGGCCAGGCTATTTTAATTATCTTGATGATGATGAAAGTTATCAAAACTTATCAAATTGAAAAAATCTATGTGCTGTTTATTGTATCTCAAGTGTACTTCATTAAAGCTGTTTAAAGATATAAAGTGCGTATGAATTACTTGACGATCTTATGAAATACACAGGCCTGAGATTCTGCTTTTCACAGGTGTTGCTGGAGCAGCTGCTCTGTGGACCATATTTTGAGTAGCAAGGCTCTATATGACCTAATTTTACATTATTTATTTACTTAAAATAGTGTCATTTTTAAAAATTGATTTTAGAGAGGGAGAAAAGGAGGGGGAGACATCAATGTGAAAGAGATAACATGGATTGGGTTAGTTGCCTCCCATACATGCCTGACCATGCCTCAACTTGGCTGGCACCCACAACCTAGGTATGGCCCCTGACTGGGAATCAAATCCATGACTTTCCAGTGCATGGATGATACTCCAATCAACTCAGCCCCACTGTCCAGGACCTAATTTTACATGATTATGTATGGTTCTCATGTTGTAATAGATGGTATACATTTTCTGTTCTGGAAAAAAAAATAAGAAAATAAATAAAAGACTTACACTGATAGGAAACCACATGTAGGAACCCTCTTCAGGATACATGAACATTCCATATTCTGTCTTGGTCATCTCTTCAAATATGAAGTAGAAGAACTCGGACTTTACCCCATAACCCACAGAACAAATTTCGTTAATAAATTCAATCTGAGGAAAGAGAACACTCCCAGTTAAAATATAATGCCTTGACCTTTTGTAGAAAAGTTTCAAACCTCCTGCAGTCACCAGAATTCCCAGAATCCCACATCTCTTACTTCACTGCAATCTGTTCTCCCTCAATTTGCTCCTGAGCAGCAGCTGCCATGAACCTTTTTATTATCCGATTATTGTATACTGTGTGCATGGGGCTTTTACACTGCCATGAACCAAGTGAAGGGGATGCTAGCAAGACTTAGCATTCACCAATTATGTTGACCAGCGTCTTAAACCAAATTTTGATGTGCTTTAATCCTCTGGGCCACTAAATCCCCTGATTCTTCTATCTTGTTATCTGTCTTCATTGCATCATTCAGACTTTACAGCTTTGGCCCAATCAACAACTATTTAATTTCTCCTACCTCTCCCCTCTTTAGGACTTTTGATAAACAGCCCTTCCAGCCAGCCTGGGCCTGGCATCTTTCCAAGAACCATGAGACCTAACTGCCCATATCCCTTGTGTGGGAGATCAATATGAACTAGTCCCTCTTTTCTAAAGTCCAGTTTTGGACTTTGTGGCCGAGTGCACTCCCAGCTTTCCTCTCTGATGACTCCCTCTCTACTTCCTTTCCTGGATAATTTCTTTTTATCTTTCTAATACAAGCATCACTAAGCTTGACTAAGTGTTCTCTTTTTGCCTGGAAGATCTTATCTATTGCCACTTTGGTCAACTGATTCCTTGGCCCTAGACGGTCCTCTCCAAGGGCCTGCCTCTCATTCCATCTGGATATCCCAATAACGAATTAAGCTTACTTCCGATTTTCTCCTTTCTCAGTGGTTGAGTGTTGACCCTAGCAAGTCTGCCTCTGTCGTGGTCAGGACACACTCATAATGGGCCTTGACAGCCTTGCTTTGCTCAGGGTCTATATTTTTATCAGATCTCTCTTACCTTCTTACCTCTTTGTCATCTCCTGTAGCAGAATCATTTTCAGTTCATTTCCTCATAATCAAGATTTAAAGGAGAGTAGGTACAGAGGGAGACATACAACTAGAAAGTCTGGCTTATAAAATATTTTGTTTCCCATTGGAGTCCCATGCTGAGAAATATCCCTCTCCTGTGTGAGTCTAACCCTCCAGGTTCTGGTTTCTTCTCTGAGAACCCAAATCTTCCCCTCATGGCTGATACCGAGAAAATCCACTCCTTTCTGAACGGACTCCAGCTCAAATCTAGAGTTGTCGTCATTATTTTATAGCCTCAATAAGGCTAATAATCTGAGGTACCACACAATAAAATTCCTACAGGTGCCCACAAAGGGTGAAGTGAAGGATAGTTAGAACCAATATAGTAGTGGAAGTTCTATAGCTAAAAGTAGAGCCAGAATGTAGGAAAAGTGTCTGCTCCACCTGCTGCTTGTGGATTGCACTGACAGCCCCAATTCTTCGCCCCTCCTTGAACCAAGTCTTTTGCATGTGACTTTGCAGTTCCGCCCTTTAAAGAGGCTGAGTATATTTCACCAGCTCTTGATGTGGGTTCAGCCATGGGACTTGCTTTGACTAAAGCAATGTCTGTTGTGTGACTGGGCTTGTTATTTTGTACCTCTGGCACTGTTGTGAGAAGAACATCTTGCTGGTCCCAGGAAGAAGATGAAAAGCAGGAAGCAGAGCCAAACTTCCTCAGCCAGGCCTAGCCTAGCTCAGTCCATCCCTAGCCAACTCCCAAACATGTCAACAGGTGCATACAGAATCTGCAAAGCCGCCCAGATAAGTTCACCCTAAATCAGGAGATCTTCTACTGAACTGCAGATGAAGTATTGTTATTTCCAGTCATTAAGCTTTGGGATGGTTCATTATAGCCATAGGTAACTAGTTAATTTATAATCCCAATGTTCAATGAAATGTCCCATTGCTTTTCTCTGAAGGGTAAGCAAGGAATTCTGGAAATCATAAGGCTGATAAGTATAGTTGCAAATGCAGGCTCTTCCTTTGCTACATTAAATAACTGCTTCTCTCCCACAGTAGTAAAATGTCCAATGAGACTTTTTACCGTACCGCCAATTCTTTCCGAAGGTCAGTGACTGCAGCTTGGTCTAACTGACGCAGAGCATCATCAACTAGGTGACTTCGTCTGACTTGAAGTAAAAATTGGGGTGAAAACATATGTGTAATTTGTGACCCCTGGAAAAAGAAATATTTTAGGAATCTTCACTGGAATATTAGGAAATATTTAACATTTCAGATAAACCCATTTTGTCTAACATACAATTATGCCTACTATTGCCATATACGGTCATATTGTAATTATTTAAGAAAAGAGCATCATATGTACACTATGGAAGATAAAAAGGTTGGAGAATCTGTGAAACTGTGGTATCCAGGAATTTTGTACAGGGGATGAATCATCGTGGATGTACAGCTAAGTAATTAAAAGCTATCTCTGATCACTTATTTTAGTAAACATGATCCTTAGAAGCAATAGTGGTGTTCACCATGCAGAGACATTCTCCCACCAGTTTTTAAGAAGAAGAGTGTTAGCACAATAATCCTCAAGAATATAAGGGCAGCTTAGAAGCCGAGGGAAAATGTGAGATGTAGGAAACAGACTAGAGGAAAGACTTGCTCAGAGAAAAGTGTTCTCTGTTACCCTACATAGTATCTCCATTAAGCTTTTCTAAATTCTCAACATGCCCTCACCATTTCAGCTCCCTGCTCTTGTTTCTGCTGAACTCCCTGGGAATAGAAATCTAGTGTTGGAATTACTATCCTTGCTTTGACCTTTAACCTTCCTCTAGGAATTCTGCTATATCACAAGGACAATAAAAGAATATTTAGGATTCATAAACCAATGCCACTATTGTGACAGCAAGACAGGTGGATAATAACTATCCTAGTCCAGGTTTCCAGACCGTGTGGTTGCCCATATTAGCACTCTATAAGCTACTCAGAGAAGTGCATGCATATGACTCAGGGCTTGGGAAAGCCCTGTCCCAGATCTCTGCTACCACTGTATACTGAGAAATTACATGTGATTCCACTAGATTCTTCTGGTTTTTCCCTAAGATCTTTGTTGTAAAGAAGCTCCACAGCCCTAGCTGGCTTGGCTCAGTGGCTAGAGCGTTGGCCTGCGGACTGAAAAGTCCCAGGTTCAATTCCCGTCAAGGGCACATGCTCGGGTTGTGGGCTCGATCCCTAGTAGGGGGTGTGCAGGAAGCAGCCATCATCGATGTTTCTATCTCTCTCTCCCTCTCCCTTCTTCTCTGAAATCAATAAAAATATATTAAAAAATATATATTTAAAAAGAAACAAAATAAGAAGCTCCATATTTGTAGGGAGATGGAACAAGTGCTATTTCTAGTCCTTTCTGGTGGTGGGTCATCTCCTCCTGTGGCCTTGGAATCTGCAGACACTTCAGGAATACTGACTGCTAAGCTACATGTCCCGTGGCTCTGAGTGACAGGGAGTGGCCAGCAATACCCTGCACTGACTATAGCAGGGAAAGGTGTATGCGTCTTGCTGCTGGCCCAGGCTTCTCTCGCCTTCCCAAGAATTGGACTTGAAACCTGTGTATCTTATTTTCCAGTCTCTCTACTCCCGCTCTCCATGTATTGGTTTCCCATTTCTACATTTGTGCATTTGGATTGATAATCTAGTTGGGAGCTTACAATTTTGACTAAGTCCATCATCTCTCCTCTGGAGGACAGGATTGTGGAACCTGCTTTGTGATTTCACCCATGACAACTACAACTAAGAATTTTCTTGTCCTCAAACATTTCCCAACCCTTCATAGTATATAACTTGCCTGGGTACGCTATGCACTCAGCCCTCACTAACAGAGCAGACAGGTTAGACAGAAAATTTCTATAGAAGAAAATAATGTAGAGAGAAAGATTTGCTTAAAGGGAACTTAAGGGAAAGTTAGGTTAGGGAAGGAAAGATTTAATCTATTTTCTCCCATTACCAGGAATGTCAGGAAAATTGAAAAAAAAAAACAAAAAAACAAGAGGTGGCTGGGAACCAGAAGAGATGACCAAGTCAATCTGATGATAGACACTAATAACAGTAACTAAAGGGAGAGTCCTTAACTGTGGAAGGACTCTCCCTCTCCCTTCTTCTCTGAAATCAATAAAAATATATTAAAAAATATATATTTAAAAAGAAACAAAATAAGAAGCTCCATATTTGTAGGGAGATGGAGTCTGCCTTATAGTCTTTGTTTTTTTCTTTTTTCTTTTGTTAATCCTCACCCAAGGATATTTTTCCTTTGAATTTTAGGGAGAGTAGAAGAGAGAGGGAAAGACAGAGAGAAACATCGATGTGAGAGAAACACATCAATTGGTTTCCTCCTGGGCTGGGGAGGAGCCTGCAACCAAGATACATGCCTTTGACTAGAATTGATCCTGGGACCTTTTGGATCAATTCACTGAGCCAAACCTGCTAGGGCTCTTATAGTCTTTCTATAAACATCATAGAAAATAGATACGAACCTTTCCTGAGGAATGGCCTAGAAAACAAACTTCAGTGATCAAAAAATGTTTGGAAAATCTTTAGCATAATGTCTGGGCATGTGGTGAGTATAACTGAGAGTATAAGGCTGATGGTGACAAGAGAGACAAAATACCATGTAAGTGTTTTGTGGGAATAATACAACTCATAGAAAAAGAATGGAAGGAAGGGAATAAATGGAAGACAGAATAAATTCACTGGAAATAAAATAATATCAGTTGGGGCTTACAAATCAAGCTCCAAGACTTTTAAAGAAATTGTTATTTATTGATTTTAGAGAGACAGAACAGGGGGAGAGAGAGAGAGAGAGAGAGAGAGAGAGAGAGAGAGAAACATTGATTTGTTGTTCTGCTTATTTATTCATTCATTGACTGCTCCTTGTGTATGCCACGACCGGAGATCAAACCCACAATCTTGGACTATCGAGATGATGCTCTAATCAACTGAGCTACCTGGCCAGGGCTCAAGCTCCAAGACTCATAAACAGATATGATAATCCAAAGAGTAACAACTAAGAACTTAGTATAGTCCCTAAAACTGGATAGAGAGAAAAAGAGCATTTATTTGATCATTTCAGTATTGCTCATAGTAGGAAAACAATGGTTATTAGCTGAAGAAAGTGAGGCTGCAGCCATTATATAATAACTAGAGGACGGGTGCATGAATTCGTGCATGGGTAGGGTACTTAGGCCTGGCTGGTGATCAGGGCCGATCAGGACCATCTCGCCCAGTCCCGATTGGGGCCAGGCTGATCAGGGCCAGGGCAATTGGGGCCTGCCAGCAGGGGGAAGCAATAGGTGGAGGGACCACAGGTTGGCTGGCCAGCCTCTATCGGGGTCAATTGGGGCAGCCGGCTGGGGGGAGGGACCATGGAAGGTTGGCTGGTCGCAGGGAGGGACCAGTGGCTGGCCGCGGGAGATTGGCTATGGGAGTGCACTGACCACCAGGGGGCAGCTCCTGTGTTGAGCATCTGCCCCCTGGTGGTCAGGGCACGTCATAGTGACTGGTGGACCCGTTGTTGCAGTCATTCGGTCTTAACGGTCACTTAGGCTTTTATATATATAGATGAGAAATGTAAATTAAAATTAAATTGAGCTGACTGGTGTTGCTCAGTGGTTGAGCATTGACCCATGAACCAAGAGGTTGATTCCTGGTCAGGGCACATGCCTGGGTTGCAAGCTTGATCCCCGGGGGGGGTGGGGGGGGGCGTGCAGGGGGCAGCCAATTAGTGATTCTCTCTTATCATTGATGTTTCTCTCTCTCTCTCTCTCCCTTTCCCTTCCTCTCTCTGAAACAATCAAAAACATAATTTTTAAGAAAATTAAATTGGAATATCATGGCTAACCCATCAAATTGGAACACTGCTTAGTAACACTGCATTGGTTATAATGTAAAGGGGCATTTCATGCATTGCTGGTGGTAACATAAATTGGTACAACTACTATGCATGGAAAAGGATTAAGCATTAGTCTGCCTTCTTATATGGATGATTTTTCAGGGGAGCCAAAGAGCCCTCATTGATGAGGAAAAGTTCTTTACATAAAAAATGAAAAAGTTAAAAAAGTTAAAGTTCTTTGCAGTTCATAACTTTGGAAGAAATGATAATATTAGAAATGTTGCTGTTTTTCAAACTTCAACCAAAACAATGGATAAAATCTATACTAATAAAAGGGTAATATGCTAATTAGACCGAACGTGTTCCAGACGTCCTTGGGCCGAGGCAAGCCGCCACAGCTGGGAGGGCCCATCACAGAGCCCTGGCAGGGTAGGCATGGCAGGCAGGACCTCCCTGTGGGCAGTGATGTATGGCAGAGGCCAGGCTGGGTGGGCAGGGCCTTCCTGTGGGCGGGGATCAATGGCAGAGCCTGGCCTGGTGGGCAGGGCCTCCCTGTGGGCGGCAATGAATGGCAGAGCCCAGGCTGGGTGTGAAGGGCATCCCTCTGCTCTGCAATTGATCCCAGAGCCCCAGCAGGGATCAGGCCTAAACTGGCAGTCGGACATCCCTCGAGGGGTCCCAGATTGGAGAGGGTGCAGGCCAGGCTGAAGGACCCCCCACCCCCATGCACGAATTTCATGCACCGGGGCTCTAGTAATTAAATAAAAGATTAATGGGAAATATTACAATGGAAATACCATGTGGTCACCAACTGAACCCACTGATGAATCTCAGCATGAATAAGAGTGAAACAACCAAAAATATTGCCCTGAAGTATGGAGAGGTGAAAAGAAAGTGGGCCTAGGATTTGCTTTAAAATAATTCAGCAAAAATACTAACAACTACAAAAACAACAATAATAATAAAAGTGTAGCAAAATGTTGATGACTGCTAAAACTTTGTGATGGGATTCATTACACCATTATTTCTATTTTGTATACGTTTGAAATTTTTCATAATAAAAATGTAAGGCATACATACCCATATTTTCATAACGGAATCAGCTTGCCATAATTTTATTTTGGATAGCAAATTAAAGATAAATGGAAATTCACTGAAAATAATGGGACTGAAGTTTCCTGCAGTTATCTAAGAAACAAACAGGTAACAGTTTTCATAATTAAAAGAAGAGAAAAAACGTCATTCCTTTACTTCATCACCTTAAATTATTTCCCTCTATATTTTTCTAGAACCTGTTTTTAAGAATCCAAATGACTTAGAAAGAAATTTCTAAGAAAATGCATTTGTTTTGTGAGTAAAAGATGTTTAAGTTTTCACTGATTATCTAGTTTAGTATATTCCATACCTACATACCTACATAGCTACTAATGTGTCCCCCCCTTAAAGTATGAAAATATTCAGAGCCCTCTTGGTATTTCCACTCAGAAGTGAAAATGTTACTCTTACCAGGTAGTTATCTCTCTGGAACATTATTTTTCTTTCTCCAATAAAGTTCAACTTAGCAGAGAGTTCATTTATGATGAAAGTATTCTCTGGTAGTTGACAAGTAGCTTTGTTTACCTTAAAGAGAATATGACCTGTGAATATCATTTTCTACTAACGAATGATGTAATCTTCTAATAAAAGAGTAATATGCAAATTGACCATCACTCCAACACACAAGATGGCTGGCAGAGGAGGGCAGTTGGGGGCAACCAGGCCGGCAGGGAAGGACAGCATCTCTGGGCCTATCAACGGGGCCTGATCAGAAAGGCAGGTCTGATCAGCAGCTCCGGTGGAGGCCTGTAGAGAAATGGAGGAGCGCTGTTGGCCAGGCCAGGAGAGAGAGAGGCAAGTTCTGATCAATAGCTGCCACAGAGGCTATGGATCAGACCCTGCCTCTCTCTCTGAAGGCCTCTCTCTGGGCCTGATCTGCAGCCCCTTAGGCAGTCAATGCTGGTCTGGTCGATTCTTCAGTGGTTATGATCCTGGCTCTTTATTATATAGATATGCACACACATACACACACACTAGGGGCCCAGTGCACAAATTCATGCATCTTGAAAGGAACTGTGGTTCGCAAGGCTACGGTGGGCATTGGGGCGAGCCTCGGCCCATACTCTGCGCCCCCCACCCAGCCCCTCCCACCCACTGACTGTATGGAGTGATTGGGGCCAGCGCCACCAGAAGGTGCGAGCGGCGGCTGCTGCCCCAGTCACACCTTAGGAACAGGGGGAGGTGGAGAAGACCTGAGGGGTGATCGGGGCTGGCAGCTGCCACTCGCACCCGCTGACAGTGCCAAGCAATCGGGACCAGCGCTGGATGTTGACAGCGGATGCCAGCAGGGCTTGCACCAGCAGCAGGTGCAAGCACCGGGTGAGACCACGGCATGCGGGAGCAAAGAATTTTCAGTAACAACCAGAGTTTTGCCCTGATGAAAGCAACTGGCCCCGCTCACCTGCTCCACCATCCCACCATGGCTGACACCCACCATGTTCCACACTCTACCGCCTGCTGCCAATGCCTGCCATGTTCCATGCGCAACCCCTGGTGGTCAGCGCACGTTATAGCGACCGGTTGTGCGGTTATTCTGCCATTCAGTCTATTTGCATATTAGGGTTTTATCTATATCTACTAGAGGCCCGGTGCACAAAAATTTGTGTACTCTGGGGGAGGGGTCCCCCAGCCCGGCCTGTGCCCTCTTGCAGTCTGGGACCCCTCGGGAGATAACGACCTGCTGGCTTAGGCCTGCTCCCGGGTGGCAGAGGGCAGGTCCAATCCCTAGGTGCAGCCCCTGGTCAGGCTCAGAGCAGGGCCGATTGGGGAGTTGGGGCGCCACCCCATCATGCACAGAGCAGGGCGGATCGGGAGGTTGCGATGCCATCCTCAGTCACGCTCAGGGTAGGGCCGATTGGGGGGTTGGGGGACCGCCCCCTGTCACACTCAAGGCAGGGTCGATGGGGAGGTTGCGGCGCCACCCCCTGTCACTCACAGAGCAGGGCCGATCAGGGGGTTGGGGCTCTGCCCCCTATCACTCACAGAGCAGGGCCCATCAGGGGGGTTGGGGCTCCGTACCCTGTCACACATAGAGCAGGGTCGATCAGGGGGTTGGGGAGCTCCCCCTGTCACTCACAGAGTAGGGCTGATAGGGGAGCTGGGGCACTGCCCCCTGTCACACACAGAGCAGGGCGGATCAGGGGGTTGGGGCGCTGCACCCTGTCACACTCAGGGCAGGGCCAATGGGGGAGGTTTATGGCTCTACCCTGTCACACACAGAGTAAGCCCCGTGGAGGGGGGTTGGGGCGCCACTCCTCTATCACCCACAGAGCAGGGCCGATCAGGGGGTTAGGGCACTGCCACTGTCACACTCAGGGCAGGGCCGATGGAGAGGTTATGGCTCTACCCCGTCACACACAGAGCAGGGCCGATCAGGGGGTTGGTGCGCCGCACCCTGTCAAACACAGAGCCACAGGGCGATCAGGGGATTGGGGAGCTCCCCCCTATCAGGCACAGAGCAGGGCTGATCAGGGGGTTTGGGCACTGCCCCCTGTCACACACAGAGCCACAGGACGGATAGGGAGGTTGTGGCCCCGCCCCCGTCACACACAGAGCTGCAGGGCGATCAGGGGGTTTGGACACTGCCCCCTGTCATGCTGATCCCGGTGCCGGGAGCCTCGCTGCTCCGCTGATCCCGGTGCCGGGAGGCATATTACCCTTTTACTATATAGGATAGAGGCCTGGTGCATGGGTAGGGGCTGGCTGGTTTGCCCTGAAGGGTGTCCTGGATCAGGGTGGGGGTCCCTACTGGGGTGCCTGGCCAGTCTGGGTGAGGGGCTGAGGGCTGTTTTCCGAAAGCGGGTGACTGAAGCTACCAACTGCTCCTTTTTTTCTTTTTTTTATTCTGGGCCAGCTTTAGCTCTGAGGCCTCGCTGCTGAAAACATCGATACAATGTTGCGGTGGCTGGCTGAACCTGGCTGACTGACAGCCGGTTTCTGGGGTTTTGTTTAGCTTCTTATTTGCAACATAGTACATAGTTGCTTAGAGTTGCAGCTGAGAGGCCGGCAGCGGCAGGCGGGGAACGTTGGAGTCCGCAGTCACTGGAGCAAGCAAGCCTCCCTGCTCGCTTCAGTGCATGGCTGTCAGCCGCCATCTTGGCTGACAGTTAATTTGCATAAGGATATGCTGATTAGCCAATGGGAAGGGTAGCGGTCGTACGCTAATTACCATGTTTCTCTTTTATTAGTGTAGATATCTATATCCATATCCATATCTACACTAATAAAAGACAAACATGCAAATTGACTGTACCTTCACTATGCCTTAAGCCACACCCACCAGCCCATCAGAGTGGCTATATGCAAATTAATCCAACTAAGATGGCGGTCGGCAGCCATGGAGCTGGAGCAAGCAGGAGGCTTGGCTGCCCCAATGATGGAGGAAGCCAAGCTTCCCGCCTACTGCGGCCAGCTCTGAGCTCCACTCAAAGCAACGAAGTTTCAATTATAGAAGATAAATAAACCCCAGATACCTGCTTTCAGCCGGCCATGGCCACGGAGC